TACGAGTGGACGCGCCCGTCCACAAACTGCGCCATGACCGTCTCGGGCAAGACGCCGCTGCGCATGACGGGCGTGTCAAAGCAGGAGTGGGGCGGCACCAACCCGGACAAGCCCAACCAGTGGGCCATCGCCGAGACGGGCCTCGGAAAGACCAAGACCACGGACGGCGAGCCGAAGTGGGACAAGTCGACCCTGCCGCTCGGCAGCGACCGCGCGTCGACGCTCATCTTCCTCGAGGCGGAGTTCAAGGCGGCGCTCGACGCGCTCGACGGCGTCGCCGTGCGCGAAAGCGGCGTCGCCTCGCGCAACGGCTCGCCGCTCCCCGAGTCGATCTCCGCAAAAGTGTACCACGTCATGGCGGACCAGGTGGTGATGGGTCCGCAGCGCGAGGCGGGCCTCTCGTACGTCGACTCCCTCTACTGGGGCAAGGGCGACAACGTCTTCTTCGCCGAGGACTCGAACGCGCCTGGCGGCTACAACATCGCCGGCATCTACAACCTCGAAACGCGCAAGACGGTCACCATCGCCGGAGCCATCGGCGACGACAACGTCAAGTTCAACAACGTGGCCAACGTGCCGGCCGGCTCGATCCACCGGCGCTCCGACCAAGAGCTGACCGGCGCGCTCCACCCGCCCGCCCCGCGACCGAGTCCGCACTGCGGCGGCGCACCCACTCTGTGACCCACACGCAACCACACCGAATCCGCCCCTCAGGCTGGTTCGACGCGTCGGCCTCGCTCACCTGCGACGTGGACGCCTCCACCGGCACGTGCTCGCCCCAAGAGATGTACGACACGCAGACCTCCAAGCACATGATCCTCAACAACCAGATGAAGGGCTACGGCGAGGGCTGCATGGACTACGGGTGCGCGCCCAAATCCGACGTCTCAAACCCTGCCCGAACCCTGCCCCGGAGCCCCTCCGCCTTCCCTATAGCCTATACGCCTCTGTGCCTCCCGCCTCTGCCTCAGGTTCTACTACACGGCGCAAATGATGTACATCGCCATCCCCGAGTTCGACTGGGCGACGACCACCCTCGCCGCGCCGACGCCGGAAGGCTCGCGCCGCCGCAAGCTCGAGCTCGCCGAGAAGAAGAAGTTTGAGAAGCAGCCGCGCCGCCGCAAGCTCTTTGAGGAGTGCACCGAAGACCTGGAGGTGCGACGTGGGGGCGGACGGCGCACACTGTCGTGTGAACAGCGACTCTTCACATCGCGTGCTGTGGACAGGGCGCGTGGACCGACGACGACGAGTTCCAGGAGTGCCAGCTTCACTAGGCTGCGCTGCCCGACCGCCCCCGCGCTTCCTGCCGCGTCCGAGAGTCGCAAGCACACGCGCCTCTGTCGCTCGCGCTTCTCTGGAGAGCGCGCGCAGAGGCTCGCCTCGATGACGCGGCGTGGAGATAGTGCCCCAGCCCCCCCTAGCTTGGGGGCGAGTGCCCCTAGGAGTGCCCGTGCCGTTCCCGATTTGGAGCATGCGGTTCGCCGCTTCCGCTCTCTGCTGGGATAGTGTTCGTCGAGCCGCTTTTGCCCGCATCGCCGCGTGTCCCCCCTCCCCCGGCCTGGAGCATGCTCTTGAGATGTCCGCCTCTGCTCTCCGCCTGTGCGCGGCGCCCTTTCTGTAGAGTACACGTGTCACAGTTTTTTCCATAACGGGAGATAACGGACACACGTTTGACAAACGATTGAGCCGCGTGCGACAGCGTCAGGCCAGCGCTACGGTTCGCGGTTCGCAATGTGCAGAGAGGCTTACACGTGGGACACACTTACTGGGCTAGCCACGTATACTCGTACGGTGATTTCGCGCGGCTGGCTGCTTGCCCCTCGCGTCCCTCAGGGGGGGGCGAGGACCGAGCGCACCGCGTCGGCGTCGAGCGCGACTCCGGCGTCTGCCGCCCGGCGCAACGGCTCGTCGACGCTGTTGGCGCCAATCAAATGCCAAGCTGTCGTCTGTGCGCGCTGCCCGATGCGCTCAACACGCGCCCTGGCCTGCGACTCGAGCAGCACCGAGGAGAGCACGTCCACGAAGACGACGTGCTGCGCGCAGGTGAGCGTGAGGCCCGCGGCAGCGGGGCCCGCCTCGAGCACGATGG